TTTAGATATATTGAGTTTGTTTTGTTTTTTTTCACAAAAGTGTCATAAAATACTAAATTGACTTAATTTTTATTGCCAGATTTGTTGTCTACTGCAGTAGGTGTCAGGTGTGTGAGGCTGCTGAACATCTGAAATTGTCTGGGCATGTGGATACTTAATTTTATTTAATTAGGTTTAAAAGTTGACATTGGTTTAGTTATTAGAGAGTTTATTTAGAAAAAGCTTCATTTTTTTCGGACTTTTTTTTTTTTTTTTTTTATGTATACAGCATATGTGACTGCAGGCCAGAAGAGGGCACCAGTTGTCATTGTCAGCCTTTTATTTTATTTATTTATTTATTTATTTATTTATTTATTTAGCCTTTGTAAAATGTATGGTTGCCTGCTACAGTCTCCCTGGTGGCCAGTAGGACGGCAGAGGGACAGGAAGCATGGAATCCCTGGCTGCCCTAGGCGGCTCCTGCTGCTACTAGATAGAGCCTCCACAAACAGCTTTTGCTTCTACTTGGAGATTACCTTTTAAAAATTCAAACTGTAAATTGTGGCTCTCAGCACTTTTGTGACCCTCTGTAGCTTACAAAACACGGTCACATGCTGTTCAGTCTTTTACTTGAAGTACTTGATTTCCTAGCGAAGAACTGGAGGTACAAACAGCCAGAGAGACTGGGCTCACCAGGACATCCTGCCGCCTAATCTCGGCCTCCAGTTGGCGTTCCTCTCACAGCAAAGCTTTATCTCTGACCGAAGGAACGCAACTTTAGTCTGGCCTTCCTTTAAATTCAAATGTTGCTGTCTTGATCAGCCAATCGGGGACATCCTCTCAAGTGCCCTGCAGTGACGGTTTGTGGGTAGATTGTAACTCCTACCCAGAAAACCCGCAGGCACAGCCACACCTCTAGGCAGCAAAGCGCGTCTTTTAAAGGTGGCACTTTCACCTAGACAAAGAGTTTCCATTGGTTAGAAGTGAATTGTTTGAAAAAAAAAAAAAATCCTGGGCTTTGGACTTCACTCTTTCCTGTTCAGTCTGGTATTTCAAGCTTAGCTTGTTTTCAGCTGAAGTTAAGCAATTTGGTATTACGGAAGCTGTCGTGGTCTAGCAGCCGAAAGATCCGGTATGGAAGACAGGCTTTTGCGAATTGCCACCTAAGTGATGTGTGTCATTGGGTAAGTGGCTTCATTTTGAGCCTCAGTTTCCATAGCTGCAAAGCAAACATGATATTTACATTTCATTGTTTTATAAGGGGCAGAGAATGCCGGGCAGAGCACCTGCTTGTTGACTTCTTCAGTGGTCCTGGATTCTAAATTTCTATGAGAGCAGAGTTCCCATCAGCCAGGGCTGCATAGTGTGACCCTGTCTCAAACAACAACAAAACGCATCACAATAAAGTTTGTTGAGGAGGAAGGGGTGACCACGACAGACTTCAGATACTGCTTTGATTGGCCTCCACTTTGTGAGAACCTGGTGAAGGAACTGCCCCCTTTCCTCAGGAAGGGGGTACAGATGTCCAGAGTCCATATGGACCCCGAGCTGAGGAACCCTGTGTTTTAGGTGCCCAGAGTGCCTCTCTGCTAGCACCCATAACTTAAAAGAGTCCATGCATCCAGGGATTCTAGCAAAGCTGCAAGATTTTGTTTCTGGACTTAGGTGCTGGCTACACGGTGTGTAAATCCATCAAGCTGCACTTGACCGTGTGGTCCTGGGCACCACTCCCAGGTTCTCACATGGGCAAGGCAAGTGCTCCTAATTCTAAGATTCTTAAGATTTTAATACCTTAGATACATTATTATACTTCAATTAAAAAACATTTTGAGAGACGGTTTCCTTTACCATAGACTGGCCTCAAACTATGTGGCTGAGGATAGCCTTGAACTCTGATCACTCCTGGTCCTCCTGTCTTCACCAAACCAAGTGCGTGGGTTGTGGGTGTGCACCACCACGTCTAGTTTATGCACTGCTGAGGACTGAACCTCTAAGGCATGCTAGGCAAACAAACACTCTACCAACTGAGCCATGTTCCTTTAAAAACTTTATTTCAGTAAAGTTTTTAATTAAAAAATAAATGTGGGCCGGGTGGTGGCGGCGGCGGCGGCGGCGGCGGCGGCGGCGGCGGCGGTGGTGGCGCACGCCTTT